TATCACTGCATACGCTTGTTAAATGTCCCTCTCCACTTTCCTTGTAGGCTCCCTTTAGGTATTGGAAGGCTGCTTTAAGGTCTCTCTGGAGTCCTTTCTTCGGCAGGCTAAGCAACCCCATCTCTCTTACCCTGTTTTCATAGGAGAAGTGATCATCTTCATAGCCCTCCTCTGTATCCTGCTCCAGCAGGTCTGCATCTTTCTTGTATTGGGGCTCCCAGAGCTGGATGCAGCAGTCCAGGGGGGTTCTCGCAGGAGCAGAGGGGCAATCTGCCTTGACCTGTTGACCATGCTGCTTTTGAGGCAGGCCAGGATATGGTTGGCTTCCTCAACTGGAAGCACACGTCGTTGAGATGTATCAAGCTTCACCAACATCCCCAAGTGTTTCTTCCCCGGGTTGCTCTTGATCCATTCTTGGCCCAGACTGTATTTATGCTTGGGATTGTTCCAACTGAGGCACAGGACTTTGGATTTGACTTTGCTGAACTTCATGAAGTTCAAACAGACCCACCTTTCAAGCCTTTTCTAGGTCCCTGTGCATGGCATTTTTTCTCTCCAGCATGCACATCACACAACTTAGTGTTGCCAAACTTGCTGAGGGTGCACGTGATCCCACTCTCCATGTCACTGAAAAGATGTTATAGTGCCAGTCTCAGTAGCCACCCAAGGAATACCACTGGTCTCCGCTTGGACATTAAGCCATTGACTGCAACACTGTGATTATCCAGCTAGTTCTTCATCCTCCAAGTGGTCCATCTGTGAAATCTATGTCTCTCCTATTTAAAGACAAGGGTGTTGTGTGGGACAATGTCAAATGCAATGCACAGGACCTGTAGATGATGTCAGTCACTCTTCCTTCAACTGCCAGTTGTTGTAATGCTGTCATAGAAGGCCACCAAATTTGTCAGGTGAGATTTGCCATTAGTGAAGCCATGTTGGCCATCACCAATCACCTTATTTCCCATGTGCCTTAGCTTAGTTTCCAGGAGGATCTGCTCTATGATCTTGCCAGGCACTGAGGTGAGACTTACTGGTTTGTAGTTCCCTGCATCTTCCTTATTTCCCTTTATAAAAATGGGGGTTATGTTTCATTTTCTTCCAGTCAGTTGGAGCTTCAGTGGAATGCTACAACTTCTCAAAAGTGATGGATAGTAACTTAGCCACTTCCAGTTCCCTCAGGACCCATGGATGTTTCTCATCATGTCCCATGGATCTGTGCTCCTTCAGGTTCTTTAAGTGGCCTTGGACCTTGTAGTCTCCTACATCAGTCAGTTCTTCATTCTTCCAATCTCTGCCTTTACCTTCATTGAGTACCTCAGCCTTTTCCATGTCCTGGGTAACCAAATCTCATATATTTCCTGAGAAAACCCACATTTTCCCTAGTCTTTCTTTCATCATCAGTATACCTATGGAAACCTTCCTTTAATGCCCTTGGCCAAATTTAATCGTGTGAGTTCCCTGGCTGCTCAGACAATTTTTCTGTTTTTCTTAGTCTCTACCTTCACTTTTTAGAGCGTACGTTTTTGTGTTTGAGTTTGTCCTGATGCAACTTGTTCATCCATGTGGGCCTCTTGAAATTTATGCCCAGTTTCTTCTTGGTAGGGATGCATAGCTCTTGAACCAGGAGGAGACAATCCTTGAATTTCATCCAGCTTTCTTGAGCCCCTTTTCCCTCCTGGGCTTTAAGCCCACGGCATTCTACCAAGGAGATCCCTGAAGAGGGCCAAGTCTGCTCTCCTGAATTCCAGGGTAGTGCGCTTGATATGCATGCTCCTCACTACCCCAAGGATCTAGAATTTCACTGCTCTGTCTTCACTGCAGCCCAGGCTTAACTTGAGCTTCATGTTCTCCACCACTCCATTCTTCTTGGTGAAAACAAAATCCAGCATAGCTCTTCTTCTTGTTTACTCATCTGTCACTTGAAGAAGGAAGGGATCAATGTGTTCCAGGAGCCTGCTGGATTGCCTGTGTCCTGCTGTGTCATCCTTCCAACAGATACTGGGTTGTTTGAAGTTCCCCATGAGGTCTAGGGCTTGTGACCTTTGAGGCCATTCTGTTTTCTGTAGAAGGCCTCATCAGCTTGGTCTTCCTGGTCAAGTGGCCTGTAGCAGGCCTGCACTATAATGTCATCTGTTCCTGCCTCCACCCCTTTCATCCTGACCTGTAAACTTTCAAATCAGCTCCTCATCCATCATGAGGTAGAACTCCATGCTCATTCACGGAGAGGACAACACCACCTCCTCATCATCCTTGCCTGTCCTTCCTAAAGAGCCTATAACCTCCCGTTCCAGAACTCCAGTCACAGGAGTTGTCCCAGTATGTTTCCATGATGTCAGTAAAGTCATAAGCATACATGTGTGTTATGCAGGTTAGCCATAATATACTGAGTATACTGTTATCATGGTGTTCAATATCTTATATTGAATTTAAGTATAATGACTACACGTGGGGCTAATGAAATGTGATAGGCATAAAATCTTCTGTTGTCTCTGATTTCTAGTTTTACATCTGGAAAATAATTCTCTTAATACACATCACACTTTCCCCATGAAAACCTCCTTTTATGCTTAGTATTAGGAAAAAACACCCCAAAAATGATGTGGTGAGATATATTAATATTTGGTGATGTTTTCCATGTGAGATATCAGACCTTTTGCCTATGGCGGTATGTCTTCCAAATAGAAGAGAAGTCAGAAACTGGAAACAGCAGCCATGGGAAGGAGGAAAGGGAGGATTTTCACAGTCATGTTATAGAGATTGTAAAATTTGGCTGTTCTTTTTATTTTTTTAATTAATTTTTTTCTTTACTTTTTTTTCACTTGGATGTCCCATAGATTTATGTGTGATCCCTTCCTTTTTATTTTTTTTAGGGCTTAAAACCACAAAGATTTGTCATTGGCACAGCTATCTCTTAGAGTGGTTAGAATCGTCACCCCATGATGGTGTAGTAAATAATGTTGAAGTTTCAAAGGAAATGTCAAGCCTTCCCTAAAATTTTAGGAATTTGAAGTTTAAGTCTTCAGTCTCAACAGGGCTGATAGTCTTGGTTAAGATGTTTTAGCTTGGATATTAGAATTACTTTCAAAGCCCCTATTCATATGTGTTCAGTCAGAGACTTGAAGCTGGATTGTCCACATCTTGAATAAATGTACTACAGAAGTTAGCCAGTTGAGGAGTTTGTTTGTAATTTTAGTCCTAGAGCTGATGAATAGGCAGCAGGAGTAGCAATGTTTGGCTTGGGGCAACAATTTTAAAGCTGTGAAGGGAGCATATGAAGGCTTGAGTGTAATCCCTTATTACATACATGCATACATACAGACACTCCATGTGCATACAAACATGTATGTTTACTTGAGATGGTTTTTTCAGCTGAACTCATTTCAGCAGTCTTTCCCTTAAGTCAGAAGAAAAAAGAAACGGTGTGATCCTACAAGCTGAGATAGTTATGTCAAGCCCTGTGCTTTCAGCACTCTGTTTCCTCTCAGTACTAAAGTGGAGAGAGCTATTGCATCTAGCGTGAGAGAATATGAGACATTTCAGTAGAAGCTTGACAAACTAGAGAGCAAATTCAAAACGTTAAAAAAGAAAGTGAAGAAGGGCTTCTTGCTTCTTATTCCAGATTCAACCTTACAGCTATCCTAGAAAACTTGCAGACTACACCAATCCAATGCCAGACTGAGAAATACATGGACATAAACCCCTTTTAACTGCCACACATTAGGTGTAAGCCCCATTTATGTCTCTATATGCAATTACACAAATAGGCTTGTTGTGGAAGAGTGGGTGCTGAGTTCAGCTTATGTATGAACTTTCTGGTGAAGGGCCAAAGCGGGCAGTGTGTTTTCCCAAGTGCTCTGCTCGTGCACCTGATGAGGTCTCTTTGTACGGAGATTTCCAAGTGAATCCAAAAACACTTTTGTGTGTTTTGCCTTTTTCTATTTGAGTCTTTGTTTTTTCCCAGTTAGCAGTAGATAAGACTGAAATAGTAGTAACTAAAGTTATAGTTATACAGTTGTTTGTCCTATATATCACCTTTGATCTGCTGAAAATCTGCTGGATGTTTCAAACAATAGGGTTCATGGGTTGAATTAACAACACTGATCAGTCTGTATGTTAGTTCTTCTGAATGACAGATTTGTACTTTCAACACTGGAGATTTCATAGCTGATAAGGTAAGTCAAGCTTTTAAGTAATAAAATCCAACAAACGCAAAGCCTATTCTCATGGATTAATTGTGAGTCAGTCTCACATTGTAAGCATTATGGTTGATGTGGGATGTTATGCCCTGGTAAACTGTGTGTGGTTCATTTAAGTTTTGAAGGTGTTGTACTTTATACACACTGAAAACATATAGCTCTTTCCAGCTGACATTTGTAACTTCAGTGAGCAAAAAAAGTTGACAGTTATGAAACTTCCTCTCTAGTTCAAAACATCTTTTCCACAGCAGGATTTAGAGACCAATTTTTAGTTGTACCACTGCTCATATTAGACTTTTTGTAGTAATGTATTGGCTCTTTCCTTTTAAAAGGTTTGTTTTAAACCTCCATTGATAAAATTTAGCATGTTTTTAAGCCTTGGGAAGATATTTTTTCCAGTACTTATAGAAAATTCTCAGCAGTTCACTTCATTAATGTCCACTCAAGTGTCTGTTCATGCTTTCATGAAAAAGCATAAAATGAGAGATTGGGTAAAAATGCAAAAAGGAATAAAGTGGTTAGCAATGTACATCTCCATAGATCTTGTACCTTGGAATAAACATTTCAGTTGCTGAGGTCTGTCATAGAGACCTGAATATGCAGGACAATAATGCAAAGCTAATTAATTTTCCATATCTGTTTGAAAGGTAGTTAGCTTATTAGTACTGTAGAATGAATATGTACTTCTGAATTTTTTTTTTGTGCATAAATATATATATATGTCTTTAGGAGGGGATTTCTTAGAATGTGCTTAAGCTATGTGGATAATTAAAGTAGTTTGTGTTAACTTTTCTCCTTTTGCAGACTAATAAGTCTGAGATGTTAAAAATCATGTAACCAGAAGTGTAAGTAATTCTGTTTTACTTACCTTTTTTTTTTTTTTTTACTTGGCCTGATTTATTTTCCTGCTTGTGGCTGCTTATTGTATCACATCTTCATTAAGCATTTGTTGCTAGCCATTTTCAAAGTACGCACTTTGGTTTCTGTACTGTGTGAAATTAGCTTCCGATTAGGACCATTAGTGTTTTTTTCCACCACTGAGTTTTTTTCAGAAACAATGAAATAAACTCTGCATTCCTTGTTTTTAAATCAAGCGTAGGAGAAATAAAGGGAAATATTATAGTCTTCATAGATTGAATTGTATACAGAGGCATTTAGAAAGTCAAGAGGTTTTTTTTTCAGCAAGAATAATATTAATTATTGTATTGTATTCAATATGAAATTGATCTGTTAGCTTATATTAGTTCCAGTTGCTATGACATGTTATTTAAAAAACAGATTAGATGCCACTTCCCAACCCTTTATTACTATGGCTGTAGTACTCCTGGTAAAAGTATAATTAATGACATTTATTGAAGTACAGTAGAACACAGTTGTCTAATTGATGTAGAAATTTCTGCAAATAGGAAGTACAGCCCATTTCAATACTAGCAGGACTTAGAAGTATACTTTTAGCACAATTTTTGTAAAATAAATAAGACAAAAAGAAAACTTTTTAAAATCCTTTGGAGTTACCTTTTAACAGAGATGTCAAATCTTGTAGATTTCTAAATAAATTATGGGAGATGCCTATAGTTAACTGTCTGCTTGTAGGCAACTGTGATGCAGGTGTTTGATTTACCACTGTGAAAATGAGGCTAAAATTTAAAAAGGGGCAGAAGGAAGGACTTGCAAGGACTCAGCATATGGTCTTGGCTGATTTATTGTTCAATTTCAGACCAGCTCTCTATTGCAATAAATGAGCATCTGTTTCACAGTATTAGTCCTCTGTGCATTGCATTTATTTTGTGATGCTGTCCATGGTTCTGTGCTGCTGGCTTCTGACATACCACTCTGTGCAGGATGTGAAGAGACTACCTATGCAAGACAGGAGATGTTCCAAGAGGTTTCATTTGTATTAGCAGTATTAGCAGTATAGTTCATTTCCTTTGTCTGACAATAAATGTTTTGCTACAACCAAGGGTATCTCTGTGTTGGATCCTTGCTGTTATCTACTCTGTTTCAGTAAAATTAGAATTATTTCTAATTGCTAGAATATATTTGATATTGAGACCAGCTAAAATGTCTAGTGACATGATTGTTCCACCTTTCAATTCACTGTTCTCCTCCTTAACTGGACAAATAGACTAAAATTAAAAAATCAAAAAAGCCTTCTTGGTTATTTGCATATGAATAATTGGTTTTGACAGCTGCTTATCGTGAAGCAAAATAGTGAGATCACTCTCTGATCTAGTTGCTAGTTGGAAGTTTTTAGTGTCTTTGCATTACATCTGAATACTTCAGAGGGTTTCCTCTTTCTATTGGTTGTTACACAAGCCAAGATCATACATTTCTTGGCTTTTTTTTTCTTTACATGTAATACTTTGTGCACAGCCATTTTGAATGCAGCTTTAATAGCAAGCAATGTTTTTTCAGCTGTGCTTTTTGTCTTATTGTGTTTTGCATTGATTATTATTTGACCATTAGTGAGCTTCCTGAAATTGTCAGTACTTAATTTCTGTGGACCAGTATATTCCAGGATTGGAATGCAGAAGAAAGGTCCAATCTGAAACACAGATGTCTATTTGGAAAAGAGAGGAGATGTAAAGCTACAAGACTGGGCAATTCACAGAATGCTGTCCCCAGACAGTGGGGCTGGATGCAGCCATGAGATGAGGCTTAGATGAGGCTTTTTCAATTCTCGTTCTGTGACTGCAGCACACATCCCATCTGTGTGGTGCTAATGGGAGGTGCATCTTTCTGTTTTCTTCTTTCTGACTTTGTGCCATGCTTGTTTTCCTTTTTTTATTAACTGAACTGTAATAAACTGCTTTAACTGTTTATTGTCTCTGGTATTGCTTCTTCTTTCTCTCTTTCCTTTGAATATTATTTCATGGCATCTGCTCCAGGAAAGAAAAACTCTCTTGTTTTTTTCTGGCAATATGTCTGCTATTGGAATATTTCTGGAGTCAGCCCTTGCTGCTTTATAGGAAAGCTGTAAGAACATCAGCCAAGACAGTTTTGCCTCAGTTATGACACTACCTAGAATTCAAAATTTTGTTAGCTTTTTTCTAGTGTTCAGGGTGGCTGTGAGGCATGGATAGCACATTGTTACTTGGGAAATCAAAAGCGCATTTTCTTACATTTAAAGGCCTTCCTCATAGACTGTTATTTTATTCTTAATATTAACATATTTAAAACAAATAAATTGAACTTCTTGTTTCAGTTAAAGGCTAGCAGAAGTGATTCTGTCATATTCTATTCAAGAATTGTGTGCACATAATCTTCTGCTAGTTAACAGGTGCTTTAAATTTGTGGTGAAAGTTTTTCTTCAGTTTTGATCACTTTCATCTTAACTAGGTCTGAGAGTAACTCTGTAGATCCACTCTGGAGTCTTTCCCTCTGCTGTCACCTCTTTTTTTTTTCCTACTCTGCACATAACTATCTCTTTAGAGGAAATAAAGCACATACATACAACAACTTTGTGTTAGGTGCTACTTGGTCATGCCATCCAGAGCCTCACAATGTGGTAGGTGTGAATTAATGCAGAAACCTTTACAGTCTGCTGTGTCTGTCTTTTTATGCTTAATTACATTGCCTGTGAATAGTACTCATTCAGGAAGCTGTTTCAAAGCTCCAGCATAATTATGAAACTGTTACAACTAGAGCTGGAGCACATACATTATTTTAGTCAGTTGAGGCAAGCTCCTTTCGTAATACATAAATTACTAATACTTACATATGGTATACTAATTTCCCTCATAGATTTGTAGAGGAACACAGTCATTTGAGTGTTGACACGACTCTGATTCACCCAGGCAGGTGTGCAAAAGACAATAGTAATGATTAGGGCTAGGAGCTAACCTCACAAAGCTTTGTGTGAACTCCTATTCTTGAGATATTGTAGAACTAAGGCTTCAATAAATATGATTTTCTAAATCTGAGCATGTATACCTGTAAAATTTTACACTAGGACACAATTATACCTCATTCTCACATGAGTAATGTCTTTCATGCATTCAGTATCTTCTTCTAAAGAGTTCTTAGTGGCAGAAATATGCTATGCCTTCTCTCTTTTATGAAAAGAGACCAAACCATGGATAGACAGCCCAACTGTACAAGGAACTTTCAGGCCATGAGCAGGGCTGTTTTCTTGAATCTAAGTAAGTTGGAAGATAATGTTTCTACCCTGGATAGTTCCTTCTTGCCCTGACAGATTGGTAAGCAGGACTCTATATCCAAGGCCCCAGCACACTTTTTAAAAATTGAGGTGGACTACAAAGCTCTACAATGAATTTTTTTGGGGACCCTAGCAGTTTTGGCTGAAATGTTGTAGGAAGGAATCATGGGATTAGCTTTGCCAGCTACTAAGAGAGAGAAAGAAAGCAAGCTGGGATTTATGAGTTCTGTGGACACTGCCATTTGCAGGGGTCACATCTGTCTGGATTCCTGCTGTTACACTATACAGGGAAACAGATCAGGATTTTTATGGATCACGGTATACAAAACAAAACTAAATTTGCTCTCAAACAAATAGCTGATTGCAGTAGAAATAAATCTCTTCTATGGAGTCAACTAAAACAATATTTTAAATTAATATTTAATATTTACTACAGGCATTGATACACAATAGCATAGAGATAGTTTTATTTACAAAGCATGAATATTTTCTGCACTTGGAATCATTCTAAAGCCAGAAGCCAAAACATGATGCAAATTCTGGTTCTCATTCAAAACATTCAAACATGTTTCACTGTGTTAGTAGGAATTATTATGGTGAGCAGTGTAGTTCATTGTCCTGTCTTTTTCTGCGGTATGCTGAAGTGTATAGAACTATTGCACTGTGCCATAGAATAGGTTGGAGATTTTCTTCTGATTCCTGTCCATGGCTTGAGGAATGAAAATGCATCACAGATCTTGTTCAAATGCATTCAGATATCTTGCTGATTAGACTCTCTCTTCATATTTTTACTTATGCTGTCTGAATGGTGAACAATCACACCGATAAAAAGTTTCATAAAGTGATTACAATATGTGTAAAACCAATGTAATTTTATGCAGATTAGCAAAAAAAATCTCTGTTGCTTATGGCACCATTAAAAATAGGCACAAATAAAACACTTATATCTTGAGTAGATACATGTCATTCTTTCAAAATGTCCTGATACCTTTAAGTCGCAGATTTGTCATTGATTGATATTTCAGATAACTGTAGTTTCTACTCATCGATCCTTATGCCTGTTAATGCTTTCATTCAAGAGGGAGCCCAGGAGAGAAACAGATCGCTATGTGAATGCATGCCAGATCTTGTAGCCATGAGTTTGCAGTAGTGCACTTCCTCAAAGGAACATCTGTAGGGTTGATGTACAGCTGACTCAGCTGTTTAGAACAACCCAGTCCTTGAAACCAGATTTTTTTACATTCTAGTGAGATAATTTTTAAGCAGATACTACTACTATATCATTCTACTAATACTATTGTATTGTACTTCAGTGCCAGCAACTGGGTCTTAGGAAAGGCAGCTGCTTGATTTTTCATTTGGCTTCCTTAGCCTGTCTTTGATTCTAGTCTCAAAAGGGGCAAGTCATAATCCCACGTAGGATTCTAAGCCCATGCGTGGCCCACATGTCTAGTTTTACTTTGATATTGGAAACTAGTAGGTAACATATAAGGTTTTTTATTTACTTATTTTTCCAGTCCTCTGTAGTAACTCAGTGTACTGCAAAAATGCCAATGAATTTGTCTGGGGCAAAACTGATCTCCCTTCTGTGTTGGGATTTTTCACAAACAGGACGGGACTGCTGGGGTACGTTCCTTGAGCTTTATTGCAGCATCAGCCTTATTACATGGTTAAAACAATAGGAACATGGCAACAGCTCACATACTGTCAGCAGCAGCCAAAGATTTCTCTGTTAGAGAGCATTTAAAAAACTTTCTAGCCCATAGCATATTGCTAAAGCTTACAGACAATTGTTCTAGCCAATCATTAGAAGCACATGTACACCTGCTTCACATGATGCTTGTTTGTATGCTTTCTATTAACAATACTCAATACACCATTATTAAGCTTAAAACCTATTATCTTGGTATGCATATTTTCCTGCAGTCTTAAAGTCTGTCTTAGCCAAGCCTAAACATCAAGTTAGTGTTTCATGTCCTTGCTTGCTATACCATTGTAATTTTTTCTACTTTCAGACTTTGCAGCTGCAGCTAGCTCTTAAGTTTTCTGTTCTGTTTCTGTGGCCTGCTTTTACAGCTTTCTGGAAATCTTACCTTTGCTATTTCCCACATTTCCCTCTCTCGGTACAACTACAAAGAAACTTTCTTAACTTTGTAGTTTATTGACTACCTTGTATTACATAGCCCTATTATAATACATATTTCTTTTTGCTTGTTTGAGGAACTTCTCTTGCTTAAGTGTTGCTATTTTACACTACAGCAATATTAATGCTGTAAAATTCTGGTCTGTTTTCAAAGAATATAAGTAAAATCTGGTAGTAGTTACTATTTATTGTTCTAATAAGTCTTGTTCGTTCTAAGCTCTTAAAGCACTCATTTATGTCTATACTTGCATCTACTATCTTTATAAGATCTTGAGAACTTTCTATTATTCTATTTCATACATCTTTCTCTTGTACGATAAAAACTTCTTTGATAGTTTTGTCTATCATTTGTTGCACACACTGAAGTATATAAGGTACTACTACTAGTATCACCACTAAAACTACTAACACATAAACCTATTTTACAAAGTTTCTTTAACTAAGGTGCAAAGCTCTATCTTTTGATCAAATCATCTGTGATCTATTGTCTTTGATTCGAGCTGTTAGATCTTTCAGCCTTTATATGCTTTTGTGAATGGATTCAAAATGGTCAGACAGATTCATGTAACACAATCCTTCAAATTCCTCACAACCATTTCTATATGCCAGTAACAGAAAATCAGTTGCTGCTCTGTTTTGAAGGGTAATATGTTTAACACTGCTGATGTCTGTTAGCATTTCACTAATTGCAAAAGCGGCATTGGTTTGTTTACTCATCCAGCATCTAACTTGATCTAACTGTTTCAACGCCATGGCAGAAGTAAGTTGAGATAGAAGCAAACTTGCTGAAACTTTTTGCAGCTTTCTAGGGCCTAAAATCACTGTTCCAATTTTCTTCATATTGATGGGTGAATCTTTTTCCTTTACGTTTTTTCTTAATGACTGTTTTAGTACTAGGTGCTAGCACAGTAAGTTGTCTAATGCTGCATGGACTACCTTCAAGGTGTGATGGAATGCTTTGCTAAGTCCTATCTCCACAAATGAACTAATATCCTTTTGGTAATTGTCTTGGATATTGTTCAACCCTGGAAAGTCCACCCCAACTATCTGAGTAATTACACCAAAAACTTGAGTTTCTGTAAGCAGGGTAATTGGGAGTGACATTGTATTTCAGAGGATCATTGTCTCGACAATTGCTATCTAAAACTGTAAGTCAGAAATCGATTGTTAAGGAACTAAGAATCTCCAATTCCTGGGGTTCAGATGGTGCTTTAGGAAGTTCTTTAGTCTGAATGTCCTAATTAACTACAGGATTGCTCCCATCAGCAACTTCACCTGGCTGCTATTGATTTTTGGTCAAGGGATCGTAATACATAGGTATCGGCTAATCTTTTACTAGCATACTGACTAGACAGGTTGAAAAAGGCTTTTCCGGGTTTGAATTGAAGAGGCATATGGTGTCTGAGCCTGCTGCCTTGGGTAAGATCATCCAAACATTTGTTTTTGGTTGTTCTACAGGCAAATCTGCACTGCAAGAAGCAAGTAAAGTTAGCCAGCACCAGTGTAGCACTCGATTTTGCTCTATACCTTTAAGAGCTATTTTTTGGCAAAACATTTTCCCATATATTTCAGCTCACAAAGTCTGCTTTTGTTCCTTCTTAAAGTTGCCTGAAGACTAAACCACTGTGTTAAAAAGTGTTCTTTCTGTTTCTAAAGCCTGGTTTTACAGCTTTCTAGAAATTTTCTTACCTTTACTATTTCCCGCACCTTCATCCTTTGTCCTTTTCATAATCTTTCTGGTGTCAGAAGCTCTATTACAGAGGACTTTAGCCTATGAACTGTGCAAGACTAATGAGGTACGTAAGCGTACTGGTTGTAACCCAAGTTTCCTTATTCTGTTCTTGGAAAAGTTGAAAATGATCGTCTAGCTGAGGTAATGACTTTTCTTACAAATACGTTTTTTTTTTTAGGCATTATTTTTTACTTGATTGTCTCAATTTCTTTGAGAGACAGCCTTTCAGCATAGGACAGGGAATGCAGATCTAGCAGAAAGGTTATTTCTTATTCCTTCTGTTTCTGGAGTTGTTGAAAAGTTGTCTCAATGCCATCTCTGTGCCACATGCTGTGAGATGGCCTATACGTGACCTTTGTCATGTTTTTGCTCTGAAGCTGTGAAGTGGCTCAAAGTAAGATTATGAAAGTATGAGATATTTGCTGTGTGGGACAAGCACAAGGTTGCTATTTGAGGCAAGCCAGGAAATCCATGAAGAAATTCACCCTCTTTGGTGTCAGAAGAACGTGAATAAACAGGGCTGATCTCAAAAGTCAGCTTTGCTCCATCTGTGCTTTAGTTTAATTGGACTGTTTGGCTCACTTTTTTCACTTGCATTGGCAGCAGGCTGTACTGGGAAACATATGTCTAGTGACTGTTGTGAGCTGGTGAAAATGATTCAGAATTAAATATGGGACTGTTTCTTAGCTTCTGTATCATGTCTTGGCTGTAGGTGACTCTGGGATGGTGTCATGGTTTGACAATGGCCCAATGCCAGGCACCCATGAGAGTTACTTGCTCCTCCTCCCTTGCCACAGGTGGGCAGAGGAGAAGGAAAAAAAGGTTGATGAAGGCTTCACAAATTTAAATAAGGACTGGGAGAAAACACTTCAAGGGCAATACAGGCTCAACTTAAGTTTGCAAAGTGAAATTTATTACTAACAGAATCAGAGGAAGATAATGAGAAGTAAAATAAGCCCTTAAAACACCGTTTTCCCCCCAGCCCCTCCCTCCTTCCCACCGACAGTGCAGGGAGGCAGGGCATGGAGATTTTGGTCAGTTCATAACTGAGATTTTCTCCCTCTGCTCTGGGAGAGTTCTTCCCCTGTGAGACTGTGGGCTCCCTCCCATGGGAGACAGTTTTCGCGAACTTCTCCAGTGTGGGTCCATTCTCATGAGCAGCAGCCTTCTGCACTTTCTGCAATGTGAGTCCCTCCAACGAGCAGACTGTCCTTTCCACAGGGTGCAGTCCACCAAGGACAGGCTGCTCTAGCCTGGAAGCAGGGACCCTCTCTCTCCACTGGGTGTTCCACTGGATCACAGCCTCCTCCAGGCATCCACATGCCTGGAGGACAGGCACATGCTCTGATGTGGACGCCTCCCCCATGGACTATGGGTGGATCTCTGCATCCCCCATGGACTGCAGGGGCACAGCCTGTTTCACCATGGTCTTCACCATGGTCTGTAGAGGAATCTTGGCTGCAGCACCAAGATTCTCCCTCTTTTCCATTGACCTTGGTGTTGCCATGTTTTTTTCCTTCACATGTTCTCACTTCCTCCTCTTCTCTGACTAGGAGCAAAACCTGTGACTTTTCCAGCAGCCTCTCACAGGAGCCATCTTTGTGGCTCCCCTCCTAGCAAAAACCAGGCTGTGCAAAACCAATACAGGTGGTTTTGTCTGAGGACTTAATTTTTGAGAAAGTTGGCATCACAAGCTCTGTGATGAGTCCAGTACTAGATGCCGGAGCCAATGGTGGTAAAAGAAGGAATACAGAGTGTGTCAAAGGGGAGAGTTGTATGGCTTGAGTTTTTACTGGAAAAGGGCAATGACACAGTACCTTGGATGCAATGAATTTCTTTATAAATTCACATCTGTGACTGGAGAGAAAACATTTGTTGAGAAGCTATTGCCTCTACCTGCTGGCTTTCATACAAATGCAGGTAAATTTGACCAAATGGCTCCTTGCACTTGCTTACATAGAGATACCTTCTATGTGTTATTGTTTGGAATATCAAAATTGCTTAAAACTGAATAAATAGGTGAATAGAAAGTGTTTACTGTATTGAAAACTGTCTTACATGACTGGTTATACTGTCAGATGTACAGGTTATGGCAGCATTGCCCGGCATTTTAAGGGAAGTAGGGGACATGGGGAAGAATCATGGGGAGAAATTAACAGAAGAATAGTCTCAGGGTGGTCTGTCCTACTCATAACATATCAAGCACCGGTTTCACTGAATCTATTGTAGTTGCAACTCTAAATTTTTAGCCAGGCGTGATTAAAACACTCCATATGGATGGAACCATTGTTTTTCATTGTCCTGCATCTTCTCTACTGCTGTTATTTGTCAGGAAATGAAAATCATACCTAGTTTTGTGAGATTTTTAGTGTAATAGTCCATTCTGGGGTATGCCAGATGGCATTTGCTGTCTTGGAAGGTTAGTAAAATTTTTTGCCATTATCCCTCCAGTGTATAGCAAGCAGAAAAAAGTGTTTGTTTGTTTTCACTTGGATGGAGATGATTTGCCTTTAAGGATGGTCTGCCCTGTGCTGCTGAATCCTTTCCTTTGGGGAAACTTGTATTCTGATGGTTTGGTGACACAGCATGCATACAGTAAATATATATCTCACGAATGGGTTTTTTTTTGCTAGTGGTTTGCATTATGGTATTGCTCATATGCTTATACACTAGGATGCATGCTACTAGGATTTATTCTAGTTTATCTGGCACAACAGTGTGAAATAGAGAATGATTTTATCACTAACTTACTTACCAGAGGAATCTGTTTTCACTGTCTGATTATTCAGGATACATGACTGTGGGATTCACATTCTCTGAACCTGAGAGAAGCAGAGAAGAGAATGATCAAAACAATTCTTATCTCATTTGCTGCTCCTGTGTTTATGCACAAGTGGAATGCATTGTGGAAGATTGTTTACCTGAAGGGATTTGGTAATTGGATTCTGGTGTGAGTGTTTTATTTTCTTGACCAATCCCTGCAAGCTGTGTCCTGACGGTCAGTCAGGGGACAGTCATGAGATTTTCTTGAGTTCTTGTTCAGCTTCAGCTTAGATGCAGTGTAATATAGTGTAATATAGTATAGAATAATATAGTATAATAAAGTAATTAATTAGCCTTCTGATATCATGGAGTCCTGCTCATCATTCTTCCCTTCATCGAGGGCTTGCCTGCTTTTACAATACATGTCAGTTTAGTCATCAAATTTTTAGTAAATCGAAGAAGTACTTCTTAAGCAATGGATACATTTGCCACCAACAGAAACCAAGGAAGTGTAGAGTCCTGATTCATATTGATTTCTGTTTACAAAACCAAAACAAAATACACCAAAAGCTGTGTCTTGAATTTCAGTTACAGTTATTCACTTTTTTTGGCACCCAAAGCCTTTAAAATTTCAAGGAAGGATTGGGTAAAAAGAACATGAAGTTTCCTCCTCTTCCGTTGTCTAAGTAAAGACAGAAACTAGTGAAACTGGAATCAAACGCTTACATGAGATGAACCTTATGCCATCAATTGTGGTTTAAAATTTGCCAGAACAGTTTACTTTGAGAAATTCTGAAAGAAAATTTGCCACTTTCATGCTTATATGTGTCCTAGCTCTTCCCAGATTTTGATACACAGCATCAATTTATGGAAAGTTTTAAGGTGTCTTCCATTCAAACACAGTTTATTTGGTTTGGGAATACTTGTGTGTAGTCAAAATAGATAGGGTTTATCATTCTTTCAGCTCTAACTTAATAAATAAGCTTTTATGTGCATGTGTCTGTATATTAAGCATGAATTCAGGGCAGGGAGAGGAGAGAGTACTCTTTCTCATGTTGTTTTACTGATGCATGATATTAAATTGAACTTCTGATTTTCTGTATCAAAATGTATCCATATCTAAGTGCTAAATAAACAAATATCCAAAACACATGAATTAAATATATATATACACAAGCTAAATATATATATAGAAATAGCTAAATGTAAATTGAATAATATTATTTATTTTTATTTAATGTTTGTATAGTAGTAGCTGTCTTTTTGTAGAGTTTTTTTCTTTTTAAACCTGTCCTGGGAGGAAGGGATACTGCCCCCTCCAGATGTCACTTTCTCTCTGTTATATACAGAGCTTGGGTGACAATCACATTGCAGCTTAAATCTAAGACAGATACAAATTCTACTACTATGAGGTGAGACAAATTCTACTACTATGGTTCATGTGGGAGTATATTTTTACACTTTTTTCATTCATAGTTACTATTACTGAACAAATGGAACTTCAAAAGTAAACTACTACACATTCTCAGAAATAAATTCTCAGTAGTCTGATACAGGAGTATACATATTTCAATATTTAAATTCTCAGGAGTCTGATACAGAAGTATATATTTCAGTATTGTCATAAGAAAATCAGTGGAGAGGAACTTCTTTTGCAGGTTTTTACAAAAAATCAAGTTACATTTTCTCAAAGCCCGCTATGTTTTCTCTAATTTTAATGCCAAGAGTACTAAAAATGTCACAAAAGACTTTTCTGGCAGTAGTGAGTTGGAAGAGGTAGTAGAAAGTTAGACAAAACTTGAGCATAATCAGTGTTTGCATTCAAAACATAGGGCATCTTCTTGTATTCTCTTGTTGTTATAGTCCTTCAAATCATAAATGAGGAAAAAAGGTAGAAACATTAACATCAGTGACAGCAAGTTAAGGTTCTGGATTGATTTTCTGCTTTCTTTGTTCCAGAATTCCAGCAGTGTTTTGAAGAACTCACCTTTCAGTTGTGACAAAGTATCACGGCAAGTATTTCTTTCAAATTTATGTAGCAGCATCATGTGGTGTGGAGGTGGGCTTAGTCTTTGTTATTTGTGGTTGTGATATCTGGGAGTTCAGTCTTCTGCAAGATATGATATGCTGTGCAAGTTCCATTTTTACAATGCCTTTGTGAGAAAACTAGACATATTTACTGAGCTGATCTTCTGATATTTTATTAAGAAGGACAAAGTTGTGGAAAAGACATCACATGGAAAAGAAAGAGAAGTATTTGTAGACTAACCGTGAAATTATTTTAATTACATTCCTGTCTGTTGTACTTTGGGGACTGGTTTTAGATTCAATTCAGTTTTACGCAGAGCAGGCTTCAAGATCTGCAGTATTTTACAGATCTCTGGTCAAGCTTTCAATTTGTAAAGCATTTGCAGAATTCTACAAAGAGATGTGTACGGACAGAAGTACCTATACATTTCTATTTGACTCACAAATTTGTTGTGCTGGTATTTGTCAAATTGCTTGTATTCATTTTTCACATTATTGGTTGCAGAGATTTTTCACTACAGTTTTGATGTGAAGAATACAGGTGAAGAACTCTATTTTTGTTCTGAACTGAATACTTTGAGCTCTGTAGGCATTTAATGAGTTGTAATTGTAATGAGGTTATTGGAAACATCTGATGCTTGGCTGTAGGAGTCTTAAGTTGCAATTTCTTCTCATTAATATGCCATGTTTCTTCTTGGCTGCATTGCTCTAAACTGCCACATCTAATTTCTTCCCAGAAGTGCAGACCTTGATCACATTATGGAGGAAGGCTCTGAACTTGACCTCACTTACATCACAGAGCGGATTATTGCTGTATCCTTCCCTGCTGGCTCTTCTGAGGAAACTTACCTCCACAATCTACAAGAAGTAACGCAAATGCTCAAATCCAAACATGGTGATAATTACTTGGTATGTGTAAGATCAGCCATTTGTGACACATATTACTTTGTCATGCAGGAAGACTACTTTATGTCCACATAAACCTTTATAAACTAAAACTCACTCTTTGGGCCATCTTTACAGGCTTGTAAGCAAGTTCAAGATTTTCAGTAGTGTTTTAAGCGGCTAGATATTGAAAACACTTTTTGTGCTGGGCCAGTGCAGTCTCTGTGGTGGTGTGGTGATAACACGTAGTCAAATGCTGAAGATTAATTGCACTGACCATTTTCACTGTCCAAAGCATGCTCTTAAAAGATACACACCCTGCAATGAGGAGTGTGTTCTTCGTTTGTAGCAGTGAGCTACATCTGGTTTCTCAGGTGGGTATGTGATGGTCTCTCACTGTCATGTTTTCACTTGTGAAGGCAACATTTAAAAGTAGGGTTGCTGTTAATGTGTTCTGTGCAACTCTTCCTCATTAACTTGTTTTAGGTGCATTTTTCATGACATTTAATTTTCTATAGGAAATCAAACAAATATATAGTGAGCTCCATGTGCAGATTTTTTTTTAAATGTTGCTATTTAAATTTAAATGCTATTTGCATTTAAAAAGCTATTAATCTCCTGTGCTATTTACTGGCTACTGCCATGGCATGTATTGTCTCAGCTTGTTCTGTGAGGGTGAATTTGAAACAAGGCCAATATTTTATTTACTTTTTTTCTTGTACTGTCTTTTATGTATTGTGTGTTAACTGTTAGAATTAAATCCATGACTTCAGGAACATGAACTTTATTCCCAGTAGAAATTAGTTACTGGAGAGATTCCATCAATGATTTAAACACGTTACCTTCTTCTCACAAACTGAGAAGGTTATAGGTGCGTTTTAAACTAGACTGAACTTGTGATGTGATGTCCTCAGCATGCTGCCTTGCTGTCCTTGGCTTTCCTTCCATCAGGCACTGGTAGATTATAATAAGATTATAATAGTAACAGTTTGAAGGTGACCTGTGTGTAAAGTTTTTTTAGGTTGAAGTTCACCTGTTCTCTGCCCATTTCCATGCAATAGCAGTGTAAGCTTGTAGTCTCTCCACTACACTTAATCTCACTTAATACTTGATTGTACTACAAAAATCTGATATATGGTAAATCTGGTTTAGTATCTCAGAAGGATTGTAGTCTCTGCCTCTGAGAGGGATTGTAGTAAGCTTCTCTTGCAAAGTTGAGATTTTTTTGATTTTTTTTGTTTTAGTTCTGTTCTAATTATTAATTTATTTTCTAATGGGTACTTTGGTAATCAGCTGTCTTGATAAAAAGAAAGCTTGATGCCATCCACTCCAAATATGTTTCTGCAAATTTGCAAAATAACCTGACAAAGCACAGCCAAGTTGTAGATTCAGAGAGCTTGTTTTTAAACTACCTTTTGTTTCTCATGTTTTGAATACCTCTTCAGCCTGCTCAAGAGGCACATGTGAATCAGCAAAGAAAAAAAAAATCCAAAACCTCCACAAAATGGTATGCAAGTCAGCAGTCCTGCTGAAGTTGGTGGGAACAATTCTACTCTTCTATTGGGTCAGGGTCTCAGAGAACAGAACATATAGTACAGCATTTGTCTTTTTTTTCTAGTTGTTTTCCTTTCACTACAGTGAAAGGAGTGAGCATATTGTGTCCTGTTTGAGTCTGTTATGAAGAGTATGAAAAAAAACCCTAAGTATCTAATTTCTTTAACAGTAGAGGATTATACTTTGACATCTGAGACAAGAGTCCCTTAGGGAGAGATGCAAGTCTGTCAATAGCTTACAGTGAATTTTTCTCTGCTTTGATGTCCTAAAAAACCATATTCCCTGTAGGCTTTGGTTCACAGAAGAAACATGACTTTTCCAACAGATAAAAATTAGAAACCAAAGTTAATGCTCCTCTTTCTTGTACCAAAATGTAAGTAAGTGGACCTAGGATATGCCAAAGAGGGACCAAAAGGGTTGCAGTTAATCTTCCACTGTGTCATGGTTTAATCCCAACCAGTAATTTAGCCCCACACAGCTGGTCCCTTGCTTTCTCACCAAGAATGGGGGAAAGAATCAGTAGGGTAAAAGTGAGAAGGTACATAGGTTGAGCTTAACAGGTTAAACAAAAGCTTTACACACGAGCAAAGCAAAACAAGGAATTATTAATTGCTTTTGATGGGCAGGCAGATGTTCAACCATCCTCAGGATAGCCAGGCTTCATAAGCCAAAATGATGACTTGGGAAGCCAAACACCACCACTATGAATGTCACCACTCCCTCCTTCCTTAGGCTTATATGCTGAGCATGTTATATGATATAGAAAATCCCTTTGGTCTGTTGAGGTCACCTGTCTTCGCTGTGTCCTTTCCCAGCTTCTTATGCATCCTCAGCCCACTTATGGTGGGGTGGTATGAAGTCTCTTGAAAAGAAAAAAAATTATTGAAAAAGAAAAGTGCTTGGCACTGTGTAAGCACTGCTCAACAATAATGAAAACATCTCTGTTTTATCAATACCATTTTCAACAAAAATCTGAAACACAGCCCCATATAAGCTATGAAGAAAATTAACCCTACCCCAGTGAAAAACAACACACAATGGCATCTATTTATACCATATACTTCTCTTCAAAGGCTTCTGTGATGTCTTACTTTGTTGTATGCAAAATGTTTGTTCCTGTACTTTCTTGTTTCTGTTCTGTGCTGTTGGGATTCCTGGAGTATCTCAGTGTGATCACTGTAGCTTGACGGGGACTTGGGCACAACAGCATCTTTGAGTTTGGTGTCTGACCCAGCAGTTACAAGTACCCATCATGAACAGGATGAACAGGACTGTATCCTGACACAGGAATTCTTAATTGTTCTTAAATATAAATACAATAAGAAAGATGAATAAAAAAGTTGTTGTCAAATACCCCTTCTTTTCCTGTGGAAAATTTTAGGTAATTGATTTCTCAATATAGCTTTAGCACTGATTTTAAGAATTCGGTATTGAGACCTACACCTCTCTGTTACTTTCTTTTCCAATTATGAAAGCTAGTAGTAAATTACAAAAAAATTTGTGCCATTTACAGAAGACAATGTTAATTTAATTCCTGTTTTACTATTGGTATTTCAGGAAGGATAAATACAGTGATGTAGTTGCTTTAACCTGTTCAGTTTTTGGCTTCTTTGCTTAGACAGCTGATAAGAGTGCTGATTAATGTAAAAGGGTAATACTTTAGAAGAGTCTTACACTTTAGAAAAGGGTTCTTAAATTGTTCTCAGGTAGTATTAAACTGTATAATGGACTTGCCTCATAAATATAAGGCTGTTTCTCATGTTTATTCCATTCTCTCAGTGTAATGAATGAGACTTCCAATGGTTATGTCATCTGTACATAACTCAGCATGTAAAACAACCATGCTTTGAAGGAGAATCTGCCTCATTAGCATTGTTTCAGTTCTTGAGTAATGGTATTTCAGCTTTTTGTTATTGATTGATACTAATTTAAGGCACTTTCTAATGAAAGAGTCAATTATTCTTGTATACACTGCTTTCTTTTGTTTATTTTGCTGTCTACCTTTCATTTATTCCTCATTAAATACTAAGTGGAGGGTAACTTGCTATTTAGTGGGTTAACAGAAGAGTTGGAAGATCTCATAGTCAAACTTATAATTAAATAGGTATATCCTATCATCCCTGCAAATTTTTGACAGATCAATACGTTCTTGTCAGGCATGCAAATTCAAATATTTAACAGTGCAACACCCTCCCAGACTTCTCATTGTTAATTCTTATGGTCTGCATTATATTTCATGGTAGCCAGGTTTCTTAGTATACCCCTGACTCAAAGCCATGTGAAATAAATACGATCTAGCAGAATTTTAATTGTCCTTTTCCAAAATGTGCATTTAAGTTTAGCTTTAGTTTTAATGTAAAATAACTGAATATCTAAAATATGTTTGCTGGTGCTATCTAATGTCAAATGTTAATTTAGTTTAGTAGAACAGCAGGCAAACCTGAAGCTATATCACTGTAGTTTCAGGCAATATTTATGTTTCAAATACATATATTTACTACATAAATTATAGAATCTTGATGGTTAATATTTTTTTCTTTCTTTCTGAACAGGTATTAAACCTCTCTGAAAAGAGGTATGACCTTGCCAAGCTTAACCCAAAGGTATCGACTGTCTTCCATAACATAGCTTTCTAGAGTTAAATACAACTTAAATGGCCTGATAATCCCTGAAGCTATGCTGGTGTTGATATACAGAGTAAGAGAAGAAGTTTTGGAAGATAAACACCCTAAACACCCCACACGCATCCCTTTTCATTTTTTCTCAAGTTCTGTTTTGTGTCTGTTAGATCTGTGTTTTACACTGCTATTCTTGTTATTTTCTTAGACTTCACACACATAAGCCTGTTGTGATTTCTGAAAAACTTCTATTGGGTGATACAGATTTCACTTCAAGTATACTTTTTTTGTGCAGTCAAGGATACTGGGGTTGTATACTGTGATGCACAGTCAGCTGAAGTTAGTGAACTTGATTCAGATAAGGACTTCCTGTTTGTACTGTCTTTGAGTAGTTGCTTCTCTGCACAATAGAGACATAAAGAATTTCAGAATGATTGATGTCTGACTCTTGTTCCTTCTCACCAATTGATGTGTTTGTTTGTTGTAAGAAATGGTGTGCAGGTACACTTCATCATCTGTTATAAGGCCAGACAGAGTGGCACAGATGTGTATTTACAGCAGTAGATTTACAGAGATAAGCTACCTGAGGAAAGTATTAAAACCCCTCTTAAGTTTAACTTTTTGCATGCTTTATTGATCATGAAGGATGGATTTTTTTACTATTAGGCATATGTTGAATGCATTATAAGTATGTATTGCATATGTTTTGTTAATAAATATGCATATAATGAAAATAGGCTTAGTAAACTGTATTATGTAGTGAATAGAAAATCTGAGCAAAATTTTTACATGCTGTAATCATGCTGCACATGAAGGAGATAAAAATAAAATGAAAGCCATAAAAAAAATCATTATTTGCTCTAATTCTAATTGAATTTACTGGTATAAGATACCAGAAATTCTAAATGAAAAATCATGTAAAAAATCAAGACCTTCAGAAATGTTGTCACTTCTAAGTGGTTGGTGAAATTTGAATGGGGCGAGGAGGAAGAGGAGGAAGTTTTTTGTTTATTTGTTTTTGTAAAAGTACTAGTATCTTAAAAATCCACAAATTCCCTCTTCCCCTTTAGAGACCTGTAAGCATCATGACAATTGAATTGCATGATTATCTGAGATGGGAAAAGTTGTGGAGACTTTCAACCATAACGTTTATTTGAATCCAGATTTTAGTATGTGATATTAGGGTCAAGGTGTCTCTTGTAAATGTTACTTGTTTAATTGCAGATTATGGATGTGGGGTGGCCTGATCTTCATGCTCCACTTCTTAATAAGGTGTGCACCATCTGCAAGGCTATGGAGTCCTGGCTGGGCAATGATCCTCAACACGTGGTGGTGATCCATTGCAGGGTAAGTGCTGTGGATGAGTTTGTAATTCATTTTCAAAAACCTTGTCCTTTTCTCTCCTTGTTTAAAAAAATAAAAAGTTAGATCTGTTTTCAATGTTGGCAACAGTGTGCCAGATGTTTTGTTGATGTAAATAAGCTTAAATCCATTGACCTTCCATGCTTGTTAAAGATTTCTTTTTTATGACTTATGTCCTAGCCCTTGCTGCAGGTATAGCATGAACTGATGTTACTTCATCCTTCAAAGATCACTGTTACTTCTGTAAATATATTTAGAAGCTTGAGGTTTTTTCCAGCTGATGGAAAATTCTCTGTGTTCTGTGACACTCATGAATTTTATTGCTGGAAAAAAAGATAGGCACTGTATCACACATCATCTCTTTGTACTGTATATGGTTATAGGAAATGAGGTCATTAAGGACCTTCTGGATACTTTGAAAAGGTTTTAATTGACAGCATCATTGCAGTGCCTTAGAGCAAAGCTACCAGTGTGCTGTGCTGCTTCCTCCTGCTTGCTCACAATAAACGGAAATAAAGAAAAACCTTAGTTAAATTTGGATAAAATGAATTCAAAGCTGGGTTGGTAGCTGCGCTTATGATACTTGATACAAACCTATCTCTGTATCACTGGCAGATGTTACTCTAAACAAAATGATGGTGATAATGGGATGGAAACTTCAAATCAGGTTGTGTAGTCTCCAGTCCCAAATTTCTTCCAGGCAGAATGTCATTGTATGAAACACTTGAAATCTTACTAAATGCAGGAGTGCAGCCAGGAAAATGGCCCATACGTGGGACAAAAGGAAACAAAGTATTTCTGGGTATACAATCATATACAAATTGATAATGCATGTTTTTTATTAATGCCTTTTGCTAATATAGGTTTCCAGCCACAGAGATAGGTACAGCCACCTACTATCAGCTGAGAGAATGAAAATATTTTGAAATCTGTGAGCATTACTGCATGTTAAATTTTGCTGCATTTGTAATATAAATTATTTAAAAGTACTTTAGAACATTTTTTAAATTATCCATGGAAAATAAGTTACTATAAATCTCAGGTGTTGGGGAGGTAAAAATGTGAAAACATGCCAGAAACGCCTATTCTTTCTAAAATAGGTATTTTATAGAAATATATTAAAATATTTTATATTTCATCCTGGGAATTGCAGCATTGTCTAGACCTGTTGTAAATGATCTCTGGAAAAAATAATACAAAATTAAAGTAGTTCATACATTTTTTTTTTCTTTTTTCCCGGTTGATTCCTCTTAATCATTAGTAAGATTTGACAGGTATGCACATAGAAATCATACTTAGTGGTTTTTTATGTCATTTTTCAGCCAGCTTACATTGACAGATAAACTTCAACCCATTATTTCCACCTTTCCATCAATCCAGGGGGCATGAGCAAAAGGGCTCTGAATCTCTTGCCTTGGAATTGTATTTAATATGGGTCTTAGATATAATAATGCCCAATAATGTAATACATAATATAAGCTATGATTCCCTTTTTCCTAATACAGGGAGGAAAAGGAAGGATAGGTGTAGTCATATCATCATATATGCACTTTACCAATGTTTCTGCAAGGTAAGTGTGAATAATGCATGTTGTGTGGTTTTTTACAGTAAACATTGGGAAAAAATGCCTTTTAGTTGATTACTGTCTGTCAGCTTACTGTTTGTCAGGTTTTCTTCTCAAAGAGTTTTGGAGCATGTCTTTCTTAACAGTCTGTTTTCGTGATAGTTTTCTTGTAATCCTGCTTCCAGTAGGAGACTGGATTAGGTGACAGCCGGAGGTCCCTTTGAAACTGAGATTTTATTGTTTTGTAGAATACTTTTCTGAAGGATGCTTTCAGATGAATGATAGAATGTGCAAGAAACCATTTTTATGTCATGGTACTATCTTTATCTGTAAATCTCTCTGTTTGCCACATCCATCAAGTGGCCTCTTGAATTGGTGAGAAATCATTCCTTAAGTACTTGAGAAAAACTGTTATTAAAATCTGGAAAGAGTGTTTGAATAGGGAATTCCTGGACATTGATCCAATTGCAGAAAGAAGTGTAAGGCTTAATCTAGACTTCAGTTTGCAATCAGTTCAAACAGTAGATGTCTGATTACTTAGTTTTAATTGTTTCTTTTGAAGTGCTCAAATTATGAAATGACAATTGACAATTTATATTAAAAAAAAAGATACAATTTGATAAATGGTCTCAAAAAGGATGAAATGCATTTTGGAGATTTTTGTTTAGATTCTAATCATGTTGTTTTCTCTTGGGGTTTTTTAGTTTATACACATACATAAATGTATGTATATACATTTTACATACATACATAAATGTGTTGAAATAAAAATACACTCTAAATGTCATGGTTAAATCAAATTTGGTCCCGAATTCACACCAGCATGTCAGTAATAGATTTGATCCACTACTGTCTTTGATGGAGTCTTGAATCACTAGAGGTTGACGGCAAATTACTCATGGATGTCAGGCAAACTAGAATCCTGGAAAATAATCTGTGTTCGTTGAGGTAAACCAACTTCATAAGTAATTATGGACCAAGAAACTAAGTGCATTGTGTACACCAATATGTGCTGAAAAAATTACTTGCTTCAGTGATTGTTACAGTTTCATGTTTTGTTGAGAAGTATTGTGAATGACAAAAACTGTCAAGTGAGGGTAGTACAGTTGTTGTGGTGTGATTTCAGTGTTGCAGTATTATGTCATCCTTAAAGGTGGTACCTGGCTATAAATATGTTTTTATAACACCATTACAGTCACATTCAGATGGTGTTTTGTTAAGCCCAGCAATGAAAGGTACCGCCTTTTACCCCAAACAAATTCAGGATTCCTCCAGTGAAGTTGCAGGAGAGGAGTGAGCTTGGAAGCCCTCTTTAACTTTCTGGATATCTGGCAGCTGCTATCCAAAGCTTAACTTTTCTGGGTAAGGATGAGGTTGGGGGTTTCCCAGCTAGGATTTGTATATCCCTAGCATTATCAAGACTCTTGAAAATGGTACACAGCAACTTTGCAGAAGCAGAAATTACTGCAGGTACTGCTGTTAAGTGCCTTCTACTGTGTTTGAATTGGTACTTAGAAGACCTTGAAGATGTTGGCACTAAAGAAAGTTCATACTTGTCAGCATGCATAGGTGTCCTGATTCTGGCCAGGACAGGGTAAATTTTTCAGTATGCTTGAGGGAGTGTGGTCAGTACCCAGAGGTTATTGTAGACCACTTCATGTCATTGCCAGGCGTAGGGGGAAGGGGATCCTTCAAGGGAGAAGGGGTCCCTTTGGGTTGAGAAAGTGTGGCAGATGGAGCCATCCAGCATTGTCTGTTGTTGGGGGTTTCCACAGTGGGCAGTAATGTTTCCTTTCTTCTACCCTCTGTCATTAGTGTTGTTGTTGTTACTATTCATTTTCTTATCTCATTCCTGTAAACAGTAAATTGTTCTTATTCAAAGATCAAAACCTGTGATCTTTGCCATTGTCCTCCAATTCTCCTCTCCATCCCACTGCAAGGAAGGAGAGAGGAGGGAGGGAACAAGTAGCAGTATGGTTTGGAGAGCATCAGTAGGAGCACTAAATTAGGGAATTCCGTTCCTGAACCAGAACAACATGCCAAAAAAATCCAGGCTTTATGAAATCCTCTGAATTTATGCTTAGCACCTCTGCTGTAAAGACAGGGTAAGGATTAGGGTTGAGGTTGTTCAGTCTGAAAGAAGAGTAGACTCCAAGGAGACTCTCTGGTGGTCCTCCGTACCTAAAGTAGGCCTACAAGATGGGTGGAGTGGGACTTTTTTGAAGGAAGGCAGTGATAGGACAAGGAGGGGATGGCTATAGACTGAAGGAGGGTAGATTTAGATTAGATATTAAATATAAATAATAAATTCTCTACTGTTAGAGACTGGAACTGGTTGTCTAGAGAAGTTATGGATGCCACATTTCTGGAAGTGGTCAAGGCCAGGTTGGATGGGGCATTGAGTAACCTGGTTTGGTGAAAGGTGTCCTGCGTGTGGCAAGAGAGTTGGAACAAGATGATCTTTAAGGTTGTTTCCAAGCTAAACCATTCTATGAAAAATCCTTATTGATGCAACCTCCCTTTAGTTATATGTTGTAATATCAAATTTTCTCATTTAGGAAGGAATAACGTGACATCAAATTTAATGAGGTCAAACTGAGATCTTGGCAATTGTTGGTAAATTCTATTTTAGCAAGCAAAGTGCTAGCAGTTTTTGGCCAGTTGGGAACAGGCTGCCTAAATTTTGGATGGCAATGTGGGTGAAGATGAATGAATATATATGATGGATTGGGTGAGAAAGAGGTTTTGGGTCAAGAATATTTTAAGTACACACTATGTAATTTTTAACACCCATGAAGAAAAGGCTTGACTTCATAGCCTGATCCAGCACCCTGTCAGGACAATTGGCATCTTCTGATTAATTTTTGGAAAAGGCATAAATTTAATTTTTATCCTGATATGCAAATGTGTACTTTGCACAGTTTTTTTCCCCTGTGAGCTCATTTAGGTTGAACTAGCTGTGGAATTTAAAAGTTGAGATTTTGGTATTTTCTTGGTTTAGGGCTGATTTGGGAGAAAACCTCAAAAAGGGCCCCCCTCCAGAAAGAAATCCTACATGGCCCCTCCTCCCAAACGGTTTGGGAAGAATTTTCTCGGCAAGAAGTGGAAAAAACCTGTTTATTTAAACAGGCAAAGCACTCCCCATCACAAAAAATGAACAATACCAGATTAAAAAACTCATTTTCCACTCTGAAGAGATGAGAAATTCAGAAAGTCTCTCCTGTGGGTGGTTGCTCTGTTATCAGTCCCTCTGACACTGGGAAAGGCTGCTGCCCAGAGCAGGCCCCAGCAGGCTACAAAGTGCAAGCTCTTGTTGTTTCCTGGGGTCCTAATCCAGAGCAGGTTCAAACAGTTCCAAAAAAAAAAAATAAATAAAACCAATCCAGGGAACTTCTCTGCCTCAGGTACCTAAACTAACTAAAACACAAGAGAGCACCCTTTTCTGTCCCGTCCATGCCAGACACCACAGTAGAGGAGTGAAAGCAGGCTGATAACAAACTCTGTGCTTCTTCTTCTCCCCACCTTTGCTCTCAGAGCCAGTCTTGAAGGCATAGAATATAATATCAAGCATAAACAGAACACCTGAGTGGGGATACAAGCATCACAGCCTCACCCTAGGACAGGTGTGTTCTTGTATTTTGGAACTTCCAGATCTTTTACGTTCTGATGCAAATTAAAACTGTGAACTCTATTTGTTATAAGACACATTGTTTTTATCTGGAATAGATATAAAAGAATCACCATAGAATGTTACTTGTCATACGTGATGAACAGCATTCTTACTGATTTTTTGCACTTCTTCTTTTTTTTCTGTAGCCTCTTGCCTTCCTTCACCCAAAAAAGATCCACATAAGAGCCATTCTGGATAAAGAATAGAATAAAATGTATTTTTTTGAATATGATGCTCCTTGATTGTGTGTTTGAAGAATTTATGGTTTTCTGATGTAAAATAGTTATTTTTCAAAGACAGTCTCTTCCTTGATGGCTCAGGGTACAGGAAACAAAGGCTGAATGAATTATTGACTGCTTAAATTAACCTCTATCCTGGTACTACAGTTTTTTCTGGAAAATAAAATAAATTTGTATTTTACAGCGAGAACTCCCAGTGGCACATTCAGGAAATTATGGCATGTATCGTTCTTTGGGAGCCTGAGCTATTTGGTTCTGTCATTCTGATTTCCATGTATTCATGTTGGAAGTATGCAATTCAGTTTATTGAATAAAGAAGTAGGTGCTTTGCTCAGGAAGGAAACTGTCTTAAGATATTGAATGAGAAGTTGTCAGTGGAATGGGCATAATTGTCCACAATATTCAAATTGCTAGAGTTGCTAGTTAGGTACTTGGTTTTTCTCTATTTTTCTTTACTTCCCTCCTTTTTTTCTTCCAAATATTTTTGCATTTTTCAAGCAGTAGCCTGGTGAATTTTTGAAATAACACTGAAGTAGAATAACATGTATCTCTTTCTTGACAGTGCTGATCAGGCTCTAGACAGATTTGCTATGAAGAAATTCTTTGATGATAAAGTTTCAGCTTTAATGCAGCCGTCCCAAAGAAGGTATTCAATTGGTTTCTAATTTATATCAATTGGAAATGTCAGAATTATTTTCTGCATCCATCCCTTAATCCCTCCCCAGCTATGTGAAGGCTATTTCCACAAGATCCTCCAGTGCTTCCTGAATTCTCAGCACTTTATCTTCTATTACTATTCCTTGATTGATGAGATCTCTCCTTCAGTTCCTGCATGTGGTCCCAGACAGACAAGACCTTTTGTACCAATCTGTTCTCTAAATGGGTTCTCACTGCATTTTTTATTAACAAAGAGATGTCACAATCTTTATTGTTCCAAGATAATAATAAACTAATTTTTCTGTGGTATAATGGTGAGTATGGGAAGTGTGCTGATTAGTGTGCAAAAAAGATCTTTTTATTACTTGTTTAGAGAATCTGCAGATTATGCACTTGCCCCATGTCCATGCTAGTAAATGTTTGTCAAAGCATGCAACATTCATTGTGTTTATCTGGATGTGTTACCATTTCAGTCTGTCTGTATGACAAAGGTTGAATTAGGATTCAAAGTAATAAGCACTTTGTAAAGTGAATAGTTCTGGGGTTCACTGTGTACCTTGTTTTTATGACAGGTAATTGAAGGAATCAGTACCAAAAGAGACTGATATATATCAGGCAAATAATTGTGATATAGGTGAATCTCTTTTAGAAATACAAAATATCATCTGGATTTGATTTGGTAATTACTGGGTTGTTTTTTTCTTAATCCATGTGATTGCAGTAGGTAGTTTAGAAGTTGTTTAAAGTATAAGAATTTGCTAGTAATTAAAACAGAAAAAACAGTAGTAACAACTCGTGAAAGGTGTTTGGTTCTGTTAATCTCTAAATAAAAACTTACCAGTTACTTTTTTAACTCATTAGGTGACATGCACAACTCCTTTTAACTTGAAAAATAGTAACACAACATTCTGTTAGACTTGAAATAAACTTTTCATTAGTAGAAGTTGACTGGCCTTTTTTTGTTTCACTTTTGTGCTTGCATATATATGTATCACATTTCAATAATAAGGATTTGAGAATGCTGCCTACCAGACAGAGAAGTGTGAGCCATAGCAGCAGAAGGAAAGAGATATTGTTTATCTTCCCATCCAGAAGCCCTAGACAGCAGGCATATTTCAGTGAGAGCTAGGAGCGTCCACAACAACCTGTGAATTGTGCATCAGGACAGTTTTCCAACCATATTGACAGGAAGTTTCAGTAGCTTCTAACTTAAAGGAACTGTATGTGAGCCATAAAGCTAGACGTTAGGTATAAATGGTTGCATCTATCTTTCCTATACCCCCTTCAAGGACACTTGCTTAATTCTTCTGGGGTAACTGCCGGGGGGAGGGCCTCAGAGATACTCAGTTTGCTTCTTGACTGATAGAGTTAACATCTTTGCTTACCAGTACTGAACTTGAACTGCCTTTGCCATCTTCCAGACATATACACATACTTAGGAGTGTAATTTCTCATGAGAACAGAGGTAGTTTTCCAAACTGTTTGTCAGAACTGTTATCCCAAATCTCACCTCTCCTATCTTTGCCTGGCCTGGCAGTGGCCACTAATCTTATTGCAGAGAAAGGAAAACCAACTCTCCTAATATTTGTGGATAATTTTATACTCATTTGCTCCCATTCTGATCAGTTAGTGGCCTTTTAATATGCTTTTTCTCTGAAACCGTTGCTGGGTAATTAATTAGTGATATCCTTGTTAAAACCCAGTTGATGTATAAATGGGCATAATTTAAGTGGATCTCAAAATTGTAAAATATGAAAATACTCCCATTTTTCACATTTTGAAACCTTTTCTCTACTAAATCTTGTCCAGATAAAAATAGTGGACACTAAGTCACTTAGCTTTTCCCTACTGCTAGTTGGGTACTGTAACAATGGCAAGAAAAGTAACTGTAGACCAGATCTGTTTTGAATCCATTCTCAGATAAGCAGTTGAAGATTTCTCTGAATGAGAAATGCAGATAGAGACCCTTCATATGAAAAAAATTTCTCATAAACCTTTAGAATAAATGTTTGAACACTCTTCTCAAAAATAAGCCAATTGTCTCTAGGCTCCTTAAGTGCACTGCCTTGAGAAAGGTTTTCAAAAATTCAGTCTAAGTTTTGTAATAATTAAAAGCTGGTAAAGAGAAAATGTTCACATTGATAATATTAAACTAATTTATTAAAGTTGTGAGAGGTCACTGGCAAAACATTTTAACACAATATTTTTTTATCATGACAGGTGTGTCAGTTTGTAAAATGTGTGCTTTTGATGTACCAAATCCTTTCAGAAAGACTGAAGGAGAAAACAAACAAAAAAAAAGTTGCCTTTCTTAACATTTAAAATAAATTGAGCTTTGAAAGTTTTCTGTAAAATGAAACTTGTTTTAAATTACCTACAACCCCCATTCTGGGGTAGTAAAGCTGTTGTGACTTGGCAGGATATCCTTAGCTGTGGTGTTACCAGGAGTTCAGTTAATGAGATCTGTGTACAACGGTGAAAAAAGGTGATTTTCCTCTATACATTCCTGAGAATAAAGTTAAATGAAGATCTTTTCATAGGCATGGAAAAAAAAGGGACTCAAAGCTGGTGGAATAATTAAAGACACTTGCAGTGATGTTTACTTGCATGTATTTGCTCATGAGCTTGTGACCAAACCACATATTAAATTGCAGAAATAGAATAATTTTCACATTGCTGTGGTAGTTTCCCTATTGTTTTGTGCTGAATGAGATCACTTCTCATTATGATGTTATTTGACCGCATTGCCCTTAAGATTTCTGGTGAGGGCAGTTCTTGCTCTTGTTTTAATAAAGATGACGTCATTGTAAATTGGATGGCAATCATATCATGCTGCTGTGAAAGACATTTAAGACTACAGTTGTAACTGGGAATGTGTACCCAAACAATTGACTTTACTGTCTCTTCTACTTAATTTCTTTCTTAGAGTAGTAATGTAAATAACTAAAATAAAGATATCAACAATAGCAGTGTAACAGCCATGGATTTAATACAGTGGTAAATTAGTGTATTTTCATGCTGTTTTGTGAAGATTATTATTTTGGAGTTATATGCATTGCCACAATGATATTCATTACCCATAATCTGGAAATACCATTGCGTAAATAATGTATTTCCCTAGTATAAGTGGTTTTATATAATTCAGATAAACTTTTTGTTTTCAGATACGTGCAGTTCTTAAGTGGCCTTCTATCTGGATCTATGAAAATGAATGCAACCCCTCTTTTCCTGCACTATGTTATCCTTCATGGCATCCCCAACTTAGATGCTGGGGGAGGTAAATTACCTAATTTTTCCTATTCAGGTGTAGGATCAAAGTCTTGTTTCATTTTGGAACTTTCTAGAAAGCCTGCATGAATCTCAAATTAGAATTAATATCTTCTTGATATCCATCCAAATATTCCCAATAAATATTTATAAATAAATATTCCCATAAGAGAACCATTCTAAGAGTAAAAATTGGAGAAGGTGAAATCAATTTCTTGTTCTTTGTTAAATGAATAGTTGATGCTATTCGTGTCTGCCTATCTCTGAACAGTTGCGGTCGCTGTTACTGCAAAGGATCTGGGAACCTGGTCAGGTTTCACAGTAATTTCCTTGCTATTTTTGGAAATTATTATAAATATAATATCTTTTCTGTTTTGAGTTTGGATTTTGTGTGGATCAGCTGTTTGGATAGAATGTACTTACAGAATTACACAGAATTATGTAGTTTGGAAAAGGACCTCCAAGATCATCAAGTCCAACCTTTGACCCATCATCACTTTGTCAACTAGATCATGGCACTAAGTGCCATGTCCAGTTGTTTCTTGAACACCTGCAGAGATGGTGATTCCACCACCTCCCTGGGCATTCTGTTACAGAGTTTAACCCTTTCAGTGAGAAAATTCTTCCTGCTGTCCAAAAGGAACTTTCTCTGTGCAGCTTGAGGCTATGTCCTCTTATCGTATCATTAGTTGACCAGGAGAAAAGGCTGACTCCCACCTTGCTACAATCTCCCTTCAGGCAGTTATATGGAGTGATAAGGTCTCCCTGAGCCTCTTTTTCTCCAGGTTAAACAACCCAGCTCCCTCAGCCTCTCCTCATAGGACATGTATGGAGATTCTTCACCAACTCCCTTGACCTTTTCTGGACACACTACTGCATTTCAGTGTCTTTTTTCAAGTGAGTGGCCCAGAACTCAACGCAGTAGTTGAAGTGTGGCCTCACCACTGCTACTAATGTGGCTTGCTATCCTATGTGGATTTAAAATTGAAATGATAGAGTGAGATAATGTGCTGGGGCAGTGAAGGAATACAACTTTAATGGTTGCACTTGATGAACTTAGAGGTCTTAATGATTATGATTTGTTTCTGCATTTTTATTATCCAAAGGTAAAATAGCACTGGTCTTTTGTAATATAATCAGCATGAATTTGCAATGATTATATTGTCATTGTTGTTTAGTCTGATTTTATTTCTAAAATAACTGCTCTAATGAAGTTAAGGTATTGTTTGTTCTAGGTAGAATTTTTTTTAATTAATTTTGAAATCTGAAGATCAGATAATTTATTTGGAAAGTGTTTTTATTTTATATTGGGGGTTTGCTTTCTTTTGGCCATTACCATTCTTCCTTTATTAATTTTGTTTTCTTGCAGAATTTATTTCCTTCCTTACTAGAATCCTTTAAAGTCCCTCCCTATTGAATTCAAAACTAGTCTGCAAGAAAAGAAAAGAAAATTAAAATAAAACAAAAGAAAATAAAATACCTTTTAGCCAGTTTTGTTTTGAAAGGTATTTTGACAGTCCAGCATTGCCGCTTATGTGCCATTTTGCTCAGTCTGGATGTGCATGAAACTTCCTAGTTGTAATTGTTTTCCTATATCTGAATGTTACAAAACACCCTTTTTTGTTGGATTCTTTTCAGCTTGTTGGCCTTTTCTGAAGTTATACCAGGCTATGCAACCGGTTTATACATCTGGAATATAGTAAGTTATAAGGATTTTCCACTGTGTTTGAATTTAGGTTTTAATTTCCATGATTGCAGAATTACATAACCTTTTTAAGTTTTGTTCATGGTTTTCTTGTTTGTTTTGTGGTTTTGTGTCTTTAAACCATGTATTTTTTTTTCTTCTGTCAAATAGCATAGGGTCAGAAAATCAAAGTCGAATCTGCATTGCTATAGACCCTGCCCAGCTTTTGAAAGGAGATATTATGGTGAGTTAATTGTATGAAATGAAAATCTATTGACATGACATTTAGTTTTCAGTTTCTGACCTGTCTTGTGCTGTAAAAAAATTATTTGAAATGCCTGGAGATACTACAGAATAATTTAGGTTAATTTAGTCATCATCTTTGGCTTTCATGAGAATAAAAAGTCTTGTAAAACTCAAACAAGAGGTTTTTTAGGAGCAAATTGTTTTCAAACAATTGCTCGCAGCATTCTCATTTTATAGCATCACCAAGTCCAGTAAGGCCTGTATTGCTCTTTACTTTATAAAGATTACTGTGGGGAGTACTTGTAATTTGACATTAAAATATCTTGCCCTCTAATTTGGCAGGCAGTGTGCACAACTGTAAAACTATCTGCTATAAAGAAAATATCTAAGTAATTCTAAATTGTTCTGGCACTCACAAAAGTGCAATACCAAATAAGGGATAATGTCCGAGGTCTGGCCAGCATAGGGTTAAATCTTGCAGTAGCCAGACAGAGCATGGTTTGGACCCAAAGGTTATTTTGTATGACCTCATGTTATTTTTCAGGGACAGGGGGAGGGCTTCCTTCCTGTCAGGTAGCATGATGGAGGGAGTGCTCGGGTATTGCTGGGGTTTCTGGGAGGTGGGGGGGAGGAAGAATGGGAGAGGTCTGTGAGCAATCATGTGTGAATTGTCTAGGTTTTGTTTACTTGTACTCTCTGTCATTTATATTCTTGCTGTTACTGTTTGGCATCCAATTCTCCTCTCCAGCCTGCTGTGGGGGAGAGGGGGAGGGGTAGTGCTTGAGCAGTGTGTGTGATTTGGAATGTTTCAGTGGGAACACTAAATTGGTGAACACCATTTTTGAACCACAATAGTCTTATTTGGCACCAATGTGAGGCATGAAGGGCTAGGATAGCAATAGGTCTGCCCAGAGTGGGTTTGAAACAATTTCATCTAAGCATTTTGTTGCATTAGGTCCAGAGCCAGTGGTCACAATGTTGCTTAATTTGTCCATGAAGTGTGGTACTTAACTATATATATTTCCATACCTCATGATATTTTTAGATCAGGGAGAGGGATCAGGATTATTTTGTTGGTGTACTATGTGATACAAGCTTATGATATGGTAACATCAAGGACAATGAGGGTCATTTGGATGTCTATGGAGGCTGCTCTACTGCCCTTACCTCCAGCACTACCTTTGGGAGTCCATTAGTAATCATACGCAGTTTGTGGGGGGAACAGGGGAGAATGATTTTCCTCAGCTTTTCACCTCATTTTTCTCCTTCAGACCTCTTACAACAGTTTTTGAAAATGTTAAATTCCCCTTGAATATTTAGGAAAGCTTGTTTTTGTAGCTAGATCTGCCAGCTCTCCTCAGTCTGGTCCACAACATGTTAGAGTTACAGGAGATTTTTAGGAGGGTCTTTCAGAGATCTGCCCTGAGGGTGGGTATTCATGAGTGGCATGCAAGGCAGGAGAAAATGGACCAGCTTCTGAAGGACTATTCTGCTCCAGTGGTTTGTAAGTTCATCCCTGAACAACTACAAGACTCTGTTGAAGTGATAAAATATGCAAAAGAAGAAATACTCTGGCAGTTCCAGAGAGAAATGAAGTTATACAATGTGCTGGGCTCTGGCTGCTGTTTATTGGACATTGCTCATTACCAGACAGCACCCTCAGGGGGAAGGGAGGAAAGCAGATCAACAGGCACTGTGGCCACCCCAAACTGCAGTTAAACCAGGGGAACAACATGTGCTGGTAGCAGTTGCTCCTATACAGAAGAAGAAATCCAAGACTAAATCAATTGGCATAATGAGGGATGAAGAGGCAGTAGAGCACTCCACAAGAGGAAGAAGCAGGGCTAGAGATAATCACCCGATCTCTGTCCCTGGGTGAGCTATGAGGTATAAGTAAAGATTTCAGCCACCAGCTGGGTAGCCCCTGGTGATGTGGCTGGTCCAATACTGATATATTGTGGCCCGCAGTATGAAACCAGATGGTAGTGAAGCCAAGAAATTGGGATCTGTGTCCTGGAGTGTGTACATTGGGATTGGGAAGAGGACAGTATCTCAGCCTCAGGAGGTGACTCCTGTCAAGTATAAGGAGTGTCTTGTATCTTAACAAGAGTGATCTGTTAGTACAGTGAGACAAGTGGAACACGATGAAGAAAGGTATCCAGTTCTTGAGAGAATTAGCTGTGCTGGAGGTACTTTATAAGTAATAATGAGCGATTCCCTATAAATCCAGATGAAGTCTGGTGACACAAACACCACACGTGGTGGAAGTTGCTAGGAAGTGCACCATTGCTGTATATGAACTCCTTGACAGTGATGTCATGGAAAGAAGGTGAACAAAGAGTGGATAATTTGGTTGCCCAACTCCAGCTATATGAAGAAAGTATCTCTTCCTCCCTATGGGCCTGCATCTTGTCCATGGAAAGACTGCCCCATGACCTCTTGCAATTTAGAGACGACTACCAGCAATTTAAAGAAGTGTCCCATGTCTTGTCAGCACAGACCAGTCTCTGCTATTAGCAACAAGTGTTGTCCTGCTCAAGAGAGAGGATACACACCACAAAGTAATCTGTGGTTTTACCTGCATAACCATGGAGAGGATATATGGAGGTAGGATGGAAAACCCCCCTCTGTCCTAGCAGCACTGGAGTGTGAATTGAGAGGAAGCACAACTACTGCAGGAATTTCTTCAAGGATAAATCTTGCTCCAGTTTCCAGTAAGTAAGACCTCAGAGAGAATAGGAGGACTGATGCTACTTCCAATGCTCTTGAAGGGATCTCCATACTTACAGGAAATAAGTAACAAGTACTGTTACAGGAGGGGCCCTACCTTCAGCCAGGTGCAGGAAAAGATTTATTAGTCTGATTTATTTGACTTCGTGGATCCAGTGGCCTGGAACATTGGACCCACAAGAGTGTAAGGTTTTAAGCATACAATGTATCCTGATGCTGTTGAGATATGTAGGGCCAGAATCTTTTGCTCTTTGTGGTGTGACAGCTGACTATAATGGAAGATGTAGTGAGCGTGACTGGGAATGAAAGGCAAAACCAGCCAGCTGTGACTGGTCCAGAGACCCTGTGCATCACTGACATAGATTTCTTAGGAGAGGGTGTTTTGAGGACCCAAAAGGGCATCATTGGGTTTTTTGGTGTCTCCACAGCTGCTGTGGAGACAGAGGAGACTGGACAGCTGAACACCTTGCCTGGTCTCTCAGAGGACGCTCCTGCTGTGAGACTTCTGAGAGTTGAAAAACAATAGGTATCGGTCGCTACCACGACAAGGTACCCTTGACAGTAGCGCAACAAACACTGACACCATGATTTGTCGCAGCATGGCGTCCCCGGACGGGTAATAATTAGCATTGACTCCATGATTCCAAAAGGCTGATAAATCACTTTATTATACTATACTTATTAAGAAAAGACAGTCTGATACAAGTGGACCCTATTGGTCCTTGAATCAAAACACCTCACCATTGGCCAATTAAGAAATCACCTTTTGGTAAGCAAATCTCCATAACACATTCCACAGGTTCACAGCAACAGGTGCAGCAAGTGAAGATAAGAATTGTTTATCATTCTTTTCTCTGATCATCCCACAGCCTTCCCCAGGAAAATTCCTGGGAAAGTTGTGCCTGTCACTCTCTGTGACCAGAAAGCGGCTGCCACAATGATTCCCCATGCATGAAATGATTCGTCCTCCAGAAAGCCAGGGAGTGGTCAGCAAGACTTGCTCACCCTTTATTAGTCCTGTATGGCCAGTGTATAAGTCCGTTGGAGAGTGGAGACCGCTTCCGAGTGCAGATGTGCTGGTCATGCTGGAACTTCACTATGAACTGGAGTCCAAGGCAGCAAAATGGTGTCACTTTTCACATTGCTAGTGCATTTTTCTCCATTTCTTTAGCAGAAAAGTGCAGGCAACAGTTTGATGTTACACGGAGGGTTGTCTTTACACCTGAAATAGACTGATCCGGGACTTGAAATAGCCCCACTATTTGCCATGTACTGATCCAGACTGAACTGAAAAAGGGCAAGGCTCCAGAATACTTGCAACACATTGATGACATCATTCTGTGGGGTTACACAGCAGAGAAAGTTTTTGAGAAAGGCAAGAAGGTAATCTAGGTCCTCCTGAAGGCCAGCTGTGCCATAATGCAGAGTAAGGTCAATGGACCTGCCCAGGAAATTCAAATTTTAGGAGTAAAATGGCAAGATGAGTGTTGTCAAGTTCCAATGGATATAGGCAAATAAAAACAGCAGCTATGTCCCCACCAACCAGCAAGAAGGAAACACAGGCTTTCCTAGCTGATATAGCTTTTTGGAGGATGTATTTTTCAGATTTCAGTTAGATTGTAAGACTTCTCTATCAAGTGAAGAACAATGATTTTAAGAAGAATGATTTTAAGTGTGGTCCTGAACAACAACAAGCTTTTGAACAAATCAAACAAAGAATGCTCATGCAGTAGCCCTTGGACCAGTCAGGACAGGATAAGATGTGAAAAGTGTGCTCTATACCACAGCTGGGGAGAATGGTCTTTCCTGAAGTGTCTGGCAAAAGGTATCTGGGGAGACCTGAGGACAAGCCCTAAGGTTTCAGAGTCAGGAATCCAAGGCCTGCTATACCCCTACTGAAAAAGAGATCCTAGCAGCTTATGAAGGGGTTTGAGCTGTTTCAGAAGTAACTGACATCATAGCACAGCTCCTCGTGGCACCTCAACTGCCAGTGCTGGGTTAGATGTTAAAAGGATATTTCACACATGCCGCTGACGCTTCATGGAGCGTGTCATGCTGATCATATGGTTAGCTTGAATAGGAAACCCGAATTGCCCAGAGATCTTGGAAGTCAGCACAAACTGGCCTGAAGGAAAAAAATTTCGTAGTAACATCAGAGAAGCAGGAAGAGAAGGTGACGTGCTGAGGAGGCCTCACTCCATTATCAGCACCAGAAAATGAAAGCAATATGCTCTCTTTACCAGTTCCTGCTTATTGTCCGTGGAAAGA